TTGTATCTTTTTAAAGTGCATTTGGAATTTCTATGCTCATGAGTAATAGTAACAGTAGTAACAGTAATTGCATGTAACTTGTTGTGTGTGGCTATTATCGTCTCCATTTCGTAGATGAAGAAATTGAGGCTCAATGGTCTAGTGAACATATCCACGTTCACTCGCCCAGCAAGTGGCAGATCCAGATTCTAGTATCTTGTGTGTAAGATAAATAACTATTTCATGTCAGTACGAAGTTTTGAGAGGCTTAAGTGAAGATGGAGAATATGCACTGTGGCTGTGTAGTGAGGGAATGGAATATTGGGTTTAAATATAGACTTTCCCCTCAGCAATGTATGGTCTTGAGCAAATCACACAAACTTTTTGAACTTTGTTTTTTTCATGTATGAAATGGGGCAATTGACCCCTACCTAACCAAATTACTGTGTGGTTAAATGAATGAGATGTTTTATGACATTTCAATTTTGGCTTTTTTTTTTTTTGTCAGTGGAGTTTTAGAACAATGCTAGGAGAATTTGTTCTGCATTAAAAACATGATTTACATAAAAATTCTTAGTATCTACAAATAATGCTTTTTTCTTGACATTATACTAAGTCAGCATGAATTTTTAAGTTACTTTATTGAAGTGGCAAAACTCTCACGAGTATTTAATATAAGATGAAACTTCGATGGTTTGATAAGACAATATTAGATAACATCTTAGTTACCAAGTGTTTTTTATTGAAATTCTCTATTTGCTATAAAGTCTAACCTGATTAGATGAGCTGTGATATAAACTTTTTAAAAAGTGAACATATATTCAAGATTTTATTTAACCCATTATTAATGAAGGGACAGATGAAATTTACAACTAGTTCTGGTATAAACATTTTAATCTTAAAATGACAGTATATAAGGGAAGAGACAGAATATGATTTATATTCAAAACATTGTTTTTTGAAGTGTGTCATTATAGGATGTTTTTAAATAAGCAAAAAAGATAATGAAATACTTATTCAATGACAGTCACTATCTCGTTTCAGTCTCACAATAGCATTAGGAGGTACCAACTATTTTAATACCATGTTTACAGATTAGGAAGTTGAAGTTTGGTTGTCTGAGGTCACAAACGATTAAGTGACAGCAGGATATCAAACTGCAAATATTGTACTTATCCTTCAACTTTGTTTTGAGCCCAGGGATATGCAAGGTCACATACGGTTGGAATGGTAACAGGGAGCCTTATTAGGAGGGTCTTAAATTCCATTTTAATTTGTTAACACATGGAGGAATCTTGAGGGTTTTATAATGGTGGAAGAATATGATGGGGTATGTATTAAAGCAAGTAATCTAGGATAGTGCTTGAATGAGTGGGAGTGAGATGTTATTACAAGAGCTGGATACTATATAACGGAGGAGTGAATCATGGCAGTTTGTACAATGGAAAACTGGAGAAATCCTTGGGAAATGTTTTAGGGGTAAAATTGTTAGATATAGTAACTCATTGGGTGTGGGTAGGGAACAAAAAATGTAGGGGAAATAACTATTTTGATTTTGGAATCTGAGCTGGAAATATTTAAATACAGCAAGTGCTCAGGTACTTGGATAGAAGTCCAACGTGGAGGTACAGATGTTGGCATTATCTATACAGAAGAGGTGATTGTAACTGTTGGAGTGGGAGAGGGTGAAGAAATCTCAAAGAACATCTTGGAGACGGCATCTAGTCCATGGTTCCTATGGATTTTAGATATTGTCTTTTACTACCTTACTTCAGTTTACCTTTTTAGTAATTTGAATAATTCAGGCTCTTTCCAATCTCTTGACATATGCACTTGCTGTTTCACTTCAGGAACACACTCCTCTCTATTCTTTATGTGGTTGGCTTCTTCCCATCCATCAGGACTTACCTACCCCATCCTATGAGTAAGTGCCCTCCTCATCTCCATCTTGGGCCCTTGCTGTTACTGCCAGAACAATTACTATAATTTTGGTTATTTTGCTTGATTTTTGTATCACCGACTAAGATGCAAGCACAGTAAGGCAAGAACTATGTTTGTGTTGTTCACAGTTGAATCATCATCAACTAGGAAGTGCCTGGCATAAGGAGGGCACTTAATTTTTTTGAATGAATGTATGAACAAAGTGCTGATTCTGATTCCTTGAAGGATTCTAATATGATACAAACCTATGCGTGTGTGTCTCTCTCTTTCTGTCTGCCTTACCTCCTACCACATGTTCCTTTTGTCCTAGCTAATTCCAGGCTTTTGTGGCTTTCTGAACATTCCAGGCTTTTCACACCTCTGTGATTTCTCTCTTATATTCTCTGCTTGAGATGTTCTTCTCTCATTACCTCTTTCAGAAATTATTTTATGAGCTCAAAACTTGGCTTAATTGGCACCTTGTCATGAGAGTATGCTTTCCTAGCACTCACCACATGGAATGTATTAATAAAGTCACTACATGCCTGTTTCCCCTGTAGATTGTAAACACCTTGAAGTTAGAGAGTACCATGGTCTAAATGTGTGCATCTCCCTAAAATTTGTTATACTGGAATTCTAATTTCCAAAAGGATAGAATTAGGAGATAGGGCTTTTTTTTTTTAGATCATGAGGGTGGAGCCCTCCTTAATGAGATTGGTGCCCTTATAAACAGGCCTGAGGGAGCTCATTGGTCCCTTCCAGTATGTGAGGACACAGAGAGAAGGTTCCTTCTGTGAACCAGAAAGTGGGCCTTCACCAGACACCAAATCTGTTGTCATCTTGATCTTGGCATTCTTAGCCTCCAGAATTGTGAGAAGTAAACTTTTGCTGTTTGTAAGCTACAAAGTTCATGGTATTTTGTTATAGTAGCCCTAAAAGACTAAGACAGGGAGCATTCATCATTTGAATTCATATCATCAGCTCTTCGTCCAGTACCGGGTCCATGCTAGTTGTTTGACAAATATTTGTTGAATGAATAAATGACTGGAGGAACCAAAGGGGGAGGCAGACAGCATATTAGACATAACGAAGGGGACCTAGAAACATACCTAATTAGCTATGTTACTTGGAACAAGTGACTCAGACTCTTTAGGCACCTATGTCCTCATTTATTAAATGGGAAAAACAATAGTAACTGCCTTTGATTATTATAAAATTCAGATGGGACGATATATGTTGTATTAGTCAGGATTGTCCACAGAAACATAACTGATAGGATTAATTTAATTAATTTAATTGATTATTACAAGGAATTATTGCATAAGTTATGAGTCTAAAATTTGATAGGGTAGGCCAGTGGGCTGGAGACTTGGGAAAGATTTACAGTTCGAGTCCAAAGGCAGTCTGATGTAGAACCATAAAGAGCCAGTGTTGTAGATGAAATCTGAAGGCAGTCTGCTGGAGAATTCCCTCTTGCTCGAGGGACATCACCCTTTGTTCTAATCAGGCTTCCACTGATAGGATGAGGCCCACCCATGTTATGGAGGGCAACTTGATCTACTCAGAGTCCATTAACTTAAATGTAAATTTCATCCAAAAATACCCTCACAAAATCATCCAGAATAATGTTTGACCAAGTATCTGGGTACTGTGGCCCAGCCAACTGACACATAAAAGTAACTATCACATATGTAGAACATTTATTATAACTTCTTAGACATTAGGTAGGAAATGTCTGCCTACCAGGCTCTCTGGTCTGGTCCTACGTCCCCATTCACGTTTGGAGGCAAGGATCCATGAGAATGTGTCTTAGGATCAAGGGCTTATAATGTCTTGCTGGATGAAATAATGTGATTTTTCATTCTTTATTCTGAGTCTCTCTGCAAGCCACACATGTAAAATTGAGTTATATTTTCTACAAACAACATGGATAAGAAAAACTTCCTAGTATACAGTAGAAAGTGAACACAGAAAGAAATGCGTGTAAGGGAAAAACTCGTGTAAAATCATGGATTGCCATGGCCTAACTCGAGGCTCTGGTCACTTGCAGTTCCCCAAAGTAGTTCAAGGAAAGAGCTAAAGCATTGTGTCCTCTTTTTCTCAGAAAAGGATACAAATATCATGCTTTTTTCTTTAATCACTATGAAGGGTATTTCTCCCTGACAGTGAATATCTTGATGAGGACTCAGGCATATATACATGAGATATCTTTCATAATATTCCCAGAAGGCTTGAACTCCCAGATTAAAAAACTTTCATTGGATGGAGGTAGAGGGTAATACATTATGATGGCATCCATGCAGCCCTGGAAAATTTCTTTCCTAGATAACTGGAATTCTTTTTTAAGTGTTACCAACTCCAGAAGTTAAAATTCCCCATCATGACAAGGCAACAAAGGGAGTCAGTTTATATGAGTCATTAATATCACGCAACTATCTAAGGAGTAATGTTAAGTGACATGTGTGCTTCTTACAGTGAGGCTGGCACCTCCAAGGTCGGCAGGCCACCATTTCCCATTTGCCCCTGCTCATGGGCCACTGTAAGAAACCTGGCCTGTTCTTGGTAAAAGATGTATTTTAGCAGAGTAGAATCTAATTCAGTAGGTAAAGCTGGTTAAGAGGAACAGGAAGTGAAACATTTGAATAACTACACTGTCATCATCCTCATTAGATCTGAACTAGCATTATATATCCATTTGGATGGAATTCCCCATAGAACTAACAAAAACTGCTCTACCTCAAAATCTGAATGGTTGACATGAAGTTGTATATTCAAAAGAGGCAGCAAAAGACCATGTTTAAAAGGATTTATGAAATTTTATTTGATATTATTAAATCATACAGATTTCATGGTAAATATGCATTTCTAAAAGTACATAAGAAAACATTTTATTTTTCTAGATCTTGAATTTGTCATAGAAATATGCCACGGATTGTTACTTTACTTATAGATTCATATTAAAATATGCCATATAAAAGAGATAAATGAATTTATATGACTTTATTACTGATTATGAAAATAGAGAAATACAAAAATATTAGCAATAACGGAAAATATATATTTCATTTTCATTCCATTACTTTTAAGATTAAACATAAACACTAAAATAGAGAGTAGTCAAATTGATTGTGCACATTTAATATATATAATCAATACTATATTTTTCATTCTTGAATAATGAAGCATATGACTCAGTGCTGTATAATTTGGGCTTTGTTCAAACATTAATTGCTATAATCATGAAGGTTTCTATTAAAAGCAGACAGAGCAGATCTGTGCACAGCAAAGGAGTGCCTTTAACCAGAGCTCCATCCTAACGTCTTATTTTGTTAAGAACATAGTTTAAATATTTAAAGGAGAATGTCATGTTGGCTCATTGGTGAAGAGTTTGGATGCCTGTCTCAGGCATGAGTGGTGAACAGCATTTAGTTAATAAATATTCTCACTTTCAGTGTCCAGCACCAAAAAGATGCTATTTTAGTGAAGGGGGGCCTTACTTAATACAGTTCTACAAACCCTAGTTTAGGCTTGCTTTCTGTCATAGCAAATAATTATTTGACTTTCTTCATTTGTACTATATGGAGCTAATTACATTTTCTTGGAAACAGCATTAAAATTAAAGGCAATTTTTAATTGTAAAATGTTTCCCTAGAAAAATTTTCTTATGTGTCAAAGTGTACTTTGTTCCAAAATACTTAATTTCACTTACAGTTAGAAATCAAATACGGAGCACAGCATAGGGTGATTTGGAAATTGCCACACTAATTACCAGGAAAATGTTAATTTTTCACAATAGACAACTGATGGTGAACATCCAATTAACTGCTACACAGTTATTTAACAGCTATCCTCAGAAAAGAATCATTCTATTTTATGACCATTAGTTGAATAATAACTGGCATTAGACATCTTCTTAAATTTAGAAATTGATTTAAAAATCATGTATTTTAATTAGAAATTTATTTAGAAATTATATATTCATTTTAATTTGAAATGAGCTGGACACAAAGGTCACAATTTTAAAAGATCAGCATATGTAGGTGACATCAAAATTCACAGCAACTGCTTCACAAATCACCTTAACACACTGGATTCACAGCTAAGGGTAAGCCTCTCTTTGGTTCATAAGGTGTTGTCCTGGAAACCATTTTGATGCAGTCGATAATAGGACAGACACTGAGACACAGAGTACAGCCTGTACAAGCGTCAGTAATGGTGGGCAGGTGGGTTTCTGGATCAAACTGTATAGCCTGCAAACAGAAATAAAGGATATGATGTCACTGCCCACAAAGGTCAAGGATGCCCCCATGTTAGCCTCAACATTTTTCTCCACTGCAATGGAGCTTACTTTGAGACAGCTACGTCCAGCACTATGGTACAACTATAGCAACAGTTGAGCTGGCAGAAGAGAAAGAGGAGAGAGAGAGAGAAATCCTTTTAAATTAGAAGCATAATGTTTAAAATTCCTTAGAGTTATTTTTCTTCATTGTATGAGGAAAATATTTCATAACCTAGTAAATCTTCAGTTTTCTTTGTTCCGAGCAGAGCTCAGGTCTTGGGTGTCTTCTACCTGGGAATGTCGGAGAGCTTTCACACATTTTCCTTTTCCTCCTCACACTCCTTGTTCTTGACAGTGGAAAAGTGTTAACTGTCAGATGGGGCAATGAATGCACTTGTTTGGATTTCAAATAATACATGCAGTTCTCAGAAGAAAGCAGTAGGAAAAAATTAGCTTAAGAGTCAGCTTTGAATTTTGAGAATTTCCAAGACGATTCTAGTAATTGTCCCACCACGAGGGAGACAAATCCCTGAATGAAGAGCAAGAACACCTGGCATCCTGTCCTGGCCCTGACTCTACTGAGCCAAGAGAACCAGGGCCAGGGCTCCAGCTCCGAAACTGCTCAGGATTTTGAGAAATTCAATAATTTCCTTCCTGCCTGCCTTCCCTCCCATCCCTCTTCCTTCCTTTTTAACATGAAGCAATCTAGAATAAGCAATAAAAATATACAGTGTAAAATTTAGGATTGGGATTAAAAAAAAAGATATAATGACTATTTTCCCATTAAAGAGAAACATTTCAATAGTGAAAACAACATGCAATACCTCAATGGAACTATAGGATTTCTACCTGGGATGGACTTCAGGGCAGCTGTGTTGGGGGTAGGTGGTAGAGGCAGAGGGGTCTTGCCCGACAGTCTCACTTGCAGAACAAGAACAATGTTCTTACTCAAACTGTACTAATTTGAAGTGACTAGGTAGGCACTGAGAGAAATTATGAGGGACGTGAAGTTCCCCCAAACCCCACAAGTTACTCCTTGAGGCCAGGTCTGCAAATCCTACATCTTCAAATAATTTCATGGTTCTAATTTTTTTCCTGTTTCACACCTATGTTACATTTCAATTCTCTCTCTATATATACATTTGTTGTTGTTTAAAAAATTCCCCCACAAATGAAACTATGTGTAATTATATCTTTCCTCTTTTATGTACATAAAAACAAAAATGGTCTTTTCAGAGTAAATCATGATAGATTTCTTAATATATAGAAAATGTCTGATCTTTAAGGAAACAACCATATATTTTAACAAGAACTATAGCTATAGCAAACCATGAGGAAATTTTTTTACAGAAGTTATTGCTGTGTTTTATAAAACAACATTTCAGATTGCCATTTGGATGAGTAAAAGCTATTTCTCTTCCTTATATACCCTTTTATATAAACAGAAACCCAATGAAGCAACTGATAAAAACTCAAACAATATTATGTTTAGAGATTTTACACTTTGAAAATTTGCAAACTTACAAACATATAAAACTGTACATTCAGTTGGAGATTTTGATTTTCTTTTTTTTTATCTTTTGTGACAGAAGAACCAAAGAAAGACTTTCTAAATCTTTTTAAATGCATAATTGTGATTTTTTTCTCATTAATAAGACCATTTTTACTGATGTTTACCAAGGTCAGAATTGCAAGGTGTGAGCCATAAGTTCTAAGATTTAAGATATATTAGAACTCTGATGCTTTGATAGTTATAGGACTTCTTGACTTAACTCTGATTAGTTAATTAGTAAGATGAAATGAAAGTGTATGTGATATGATTAGCATTTTCAAAATAACTGTTAGAGACACCTTTCAACTAGAAAAAAAGTGATAAATTGGGTAAAAATTTGTTGTAAAACTAATGTGAAATTAAGAAGAGATTTTTTTTAAAAGAGATTTTTTTTTTTTTTTTAAAAACTAGAATTTGTCTATCATTAGTATATTCATTCTGCCATGAGCAACTTGGGACTGCCCCAGGTTGAATAAGGCGAATAAACCTCTTTTCAAATATGGGGCATTTTATTATTTATGTAGAAAATTCCATTAATAGCTTCTTAGGAGGATCTTATCTTACTTTATTATATCTTTTTATAGTTTGAAAAATGTAATGAAAATAATACTATGTAGTTTCTAGCTATTTCTAATCGTTTAGTTGTTTTCAGCAAATTTTAAAATTTGCTTTCTCTAAATTCCGTATCTTCAAAAATTCTCTTACTTTCACAATGAATCAGGCCTTTAAGAAAAACTTACATTTAAAGGTATTTTTATAATCATTTAATCATTCATTTCTAAAATTCAACCAGTTCAATGGTCATAATTGTGTCAAACTATTAAAAATAGCAGATTATACGAGAGGTAAATGAAGAAGCAAATTAGAAGTCAAAGAGAAGTTCATAGAATATGTTTTCAAGAGAATATCCCACATTGAAGGAGTTGAATTCACAATTTTTCTTTTTTGCCCCATGGCAGACTCTCAGCTGAGGGTTGAGGAGCTGGAAAGTACCTACGGCTCACTTCTTGAGGCAGGAATATATCTTGTTGGCTTTTCCAGCTACAAAGGAATTTCTGGGACCAATCTGTACAACTAGTTGGTGGGAAAGTGCTTTTTCTTTCTTCCCATAGTAAAAGCCCAGTCAATATGGAATGGAAGAGAATTCTCTTTTGGCAGAAGGAATCCTGTCCTTTCAGGATAATGGCAATGAATGGTAGTTCTTTCTCCTTCCCTCTGTATTAAAGCGTAATGCTCTCTTAATGTCCATAATTTTGTGCGAGTTTCTGTTTTCAATTGGACTTCTCCCTCCAATTTTATGGGTGATGAAATGATATTAAAATAATACTGTGCATTGAATAGTGGCATAGTCAGTGTAAGTTATGACTTCCCTTTTTTAAAAAATATTATACTATAAGAGTGAGAGGACAGAAAGATATGCCCCTGCAGCAGAGCAATACCTGGCACATCTGGTTTGAATTGTACACTTAGCAACACAAGAAGCTTGCTGGCACAACAGCCAGAAGAAACATGCCTCACAGCAACCTAATTCCAGCAGGATTCTTACCTGGTAGCCAGAGTCATTACAGGTCATGTAGCATTTGCCACAGTTGATACACATTTCTTCATCGATCATAGCCACAACTTGCTCGACATTGCTCAATTCACCAAATGTTCCCAGGTACTGCAGTGCTTTTCCTATTACCTCCTAAAAGATAGGCACTGAATTACTCATGGTGTTCATTTTTAAAACATTCCCATGTAATAACTAACATCAGTCCACATTTCCCTGTTTTTATATAGAGTTGCATTATGTTAACAGAGGAGACTTTGGGTATCGTAGTTATGTATAAGCTTTCCATGATAATTATAGCTTAAATATTGCTGTCTTCTGAAAGATGGGCAATATGCATGCCTGACTTGGAAATACAAGACCTAATTAATTGCATTCAATAGGTTTTCTACTGTATAATTGAAAACAGTGTTTCTGTGGACACAAAAAAGAAATGACACCCTTTTGAGTTGTTGCAGCTTACTTTTTCTCACTTTTGGGCCTTGAAGGATTCAAAAGTAATGTAAAGCGACAAAGGGTAACACACTTACACTAGAAAACTTTAGATTGCTAAGAATGAGGGGAATAAAAGTGTGAATGCTATGCATTTATATCACTGTATTTGGACTCTAGATTTTCATTTAGAAAAAAGCTTTGATAGCACACTCACCTGTCGTGTTTTGAAGAGTATATTTCATTATTTAGAAATTCTAATTTATGTTAATTAATTAGGTTGATCCAATAGTTAAATCAGATGCTCTTTTACTTTTAAAGAACTAGAATTTTCTTCATTCACCACTGAAGATCTTTCATGTGGTTACATATCTCTTTGTTCTTCATATTAATTGGAAATGTGTTTAATATGTGAAACACAGAGGATGTTTCATCAACAGTAAGAAAGACTTTGCTTCATAAAACAAAACAGAAGAATGTAACAATGTTTGTCAAATTAGTATGCTGTCAAGATTTTTGCTTTTCTTTTTCACTATTAAAACGAGAGTCTTTTGTTTAAATTCAAGGTCCATGTTCAAGGAGGTTTGACTCTTACTTAAAATCATCCTTCCATATTCTCTTTGGTATTTTATTTTCTGCTCTTCTTTTCATGACCTTGGTTACCCTTCTTTACTTTTTTTTTTTCCTGTTTGAGCTCTAAATGACAATATGCTTATTACCATGAACTTTCAAACTGAGACAAAGTTCACATTTTTATACAGCACATTTATGTATCTCTCAAGTGGTAAGATGACAGAAAACTTCCAATACTGTCTTCCCTATTTTCTTTTCAACATATTGAAGTTATAATTTCAACTTTACTGAAGTCTCCTTGTAGGTGGGCTCTTGATGTCTAAATCAATATCTCCATTCTGAACTGCTCTCACAAACTCAGGATCTACATTTATCAGCTTCATGATGAGATTTGTCACTAGGAATTGGTACTGCAAATTCAGCACTTGCTGAACTTAACATCAACAACAAAACTGGGTCTTCTTTTATGTTTCCTTAGTTTTGTGAACAGCATTAGTATTTTTTCAATCGTGGAGGTTTGGAATTCCATAGTTATGTTTCACTCCAATTTATCCTTGCTCCAATATCACATCTCTTGTCAAGTCTTCTGAGCTCTGGATCTGCAATAGCTTTTGAATTCTCTTTCCATGTCTACTACCATCTTTAGCCATTATTAATTAATTTCTCATTATTTTTATTGCAGTTGTAAAAGCCTCCTTGATAAGTTTCATCCTTACCTTATTCCTTTCTCACTCTACCCTGCGCAATATTGTCATCTTAATCTAGGCTGTAAGGCACAGACTAAGTTTCTCACTACCTTACTCAAAAATCTACTGAATTAAGTACAGGCTCACCAGGCTGGCATTTAAGGCTTTCTGCCAACATGGCTTTTTCTATCTTATTCCTTACTTCCAAACACGGTGCACCTCAGCTACACTGGAGGACACGCTTTTCCATTGACATATCTGAGGCCTAATTTTATGTTGAGTCCTTTGTCTGAAATACCCTTCCTTCCTCTCTCCCCTTTGAAACATCCTACGCATCATCTAAAGACATCTCAAATGCCACTAATCAATGAAGATTTCCTCAAACCTTCTTTCTCCTTTCCTAACCAAATGTGAAGATATGATCTCTCTCTCTTCCTCTTTCATTTCTTCCCTTACCATCTCCCTTTTTTCCCCTCCTTTTCCTCTCCCCCCTCCCCCATCACATCCTCTTTCTTATTTTACTTCCTGATGGCCTATGGTATTTTGTCTATTATGTGAAACTAATGGTAACAGATAACTTTTGAGTACTTACTATACCTCAGGCCAATGCCATAGTTTTTAAACATTTTCTCACTTACATCTCATGTATTTTATAGATAATGAGGTGAGTGAGATTTAAGGTATAAAATTAAGTAAATGATGAAGCAGGGATTCAGACCAGCGCTGCCTGACTTCAGATACTGTGATCATCAGCACTCCGCTATGCTGACTCATTGTTATTTTCTATTTAGCAAATTTTATTTCATGTTGTAGATATTTTCTACATTTGGCTTCCTATGTTGCAGTCTCCTAGTAGGCTCATTCATCTTTGTAACTCATGTGGTGTATTTTGTTCCTGTAGATTATTGAAACATAGATGGGAACTCAAATATTTGTTGAAATAAATATATCTTTTGTATATCTACACATTAAACATACAGTATAGTAGTAGGCACATAG